AACCATGATTCAAGCCTCTCCGGGTATTGAGTCATTTAATTCACACAACTGCCTCTATTATTATGCATACCTCTGTAGATGGGGACAGTCAAGCACAGAAAGGTTGAGTAAGTTGCCCAAAGTTGCACAGTAGACCTGTAATGGATTCAGGGTTCAAGGCCCAGGCAGCCTGGCACCAGAATCAGATGTCAGTAAGCCAGCTGATAATGGCGATTAAATCAAGTAGTGATTGGGATAGCAGTTTAGGAATACCGGGACACATGTTCAAATGATCTAAAGCTTTAGTTTTATTAGAAAACTTTCTCTTTGTATTTACACTCTATTCTTTAATGCATATGGTCCAACCGTTTTCCTTTAAGGTATAAAGATTAATGGAAGGGCAGGCATACTAGTCTCCTGAGCTGGGGCCAAGGCCATTAGGAAATCCCTGTGCTCAGGGAACGGGGAGCCAGCTCGTACCTAAAGGAAGAGAAAGAGCCTGGAGGGCTTCAGTCAACACCCCCTGGGGCTGGATGTTGGCAACTGTGATGCCTCAGAAGCCCTTTGCTAACAGCTGCTCCCAATGTGAGTGTCTGAGCTGCACCTCCTTTGGTCACCTGTCTTCTCTCCTGTCCCCACAGCTGCCACCCAGCACAGGGAAGTCCTCCACAGGACTTGCTGGAAGGAAGATAGCATGGCAAACCTCAGAGGAGCTCTCAAGTATGAACGTGTGGTCACATCCATCACGGCGGACCACAGAACATTCTAGAACCAAAGCTGAATAACACTAATGCGCAGATTTCAGGCAGTACTGCCAAATGAAGTGGAGAGAAGATAAAGGAGCCCACATAGAGGAAAGCCTTACATTGGGAATCATCCTGGGCCTCAGTCCAAAGAGAACAATCAACAATTGTCAGGGAACATGAATGAAGGCCGCTTTTGGGGGAGGTGGCGCTGCCGGGCACACACGATGTGCCCCGGCTGATGTCAGCGGCTGCTGTCCACCCTCATAAGAAAACTCACAGACTGTATCTGAGGACACTCTGGTTTTAAGCCTAAGGCTTCCGTTTTGATTTTTGCACTGAAGGCTTCTCGCCTCCTCTGTAACCGCTGGAATAGCCAAATACGAGTGCTATTACCCCTGTTCGCATGACAGATCCTGCTTGGGTGGCCTGTGTTTTCAGAACTCCAGTAGTTTCCCCTCCAGCCCCCTTGCTAGCCTTCAAGGTGGGCAGCGCTGTCATGTGACACCCTGATGGGCGGTGGGAGCAGGCTGCTGAGCCTCTGTCCTGTTCAGGGACCACCAATGTCCCTGGTCACCATATGAATTCTACCCCAGATAAGTTCCCTGAACTCAGAGCACTAACTGGAGAAGAAGGAGTCTTTTGGGATGCCAAAGCCAAGAAAACCAGAGCAAAAAAATTGCTTTTCTTAGGCAACACTCTTCATCCTGAGAGAGAAAGGCGTGTGTGTGTGTAGAATTTATTTTTTTCTCTTTTTTAAAATAAATCTTTATTGTTTAAAGTATTACATATGTCCTTCCTCCCTCCCCCATTCCCTCTCCCGCCCTCAAGTCACTCCTGATATGAATCATGGTCATCGGGATCAGCTGCAGTGAGAGGAACACCATCCGCTGTACCCAATGGTGGTTCAGTCATAAAATAGCTGGGATCATTTTCAGGTGCCGCTTCTCTTGAATGTTGAGGTGACATGGACGCTCCCCCACTTTCTTAACCAGAGCTCTACAAGCTTCAAGAGCATCTGCCTCACGTCTACACTGCAGGGCGCATCCAGGGCAACATTTTAAAAAATATATATTTTATTGATTTTTCCAC